CCATGGTGCTCTTACATTTATCAGGCAAGGATTGAAAGAAATAACAGATAGAATTCAATTTCAATAGTGTTCAGGAGCCAGATAATCTTGTTGAACAAATACAATACATAGTGAAATGTTGCCTAAGACGGAAATCTAAGGCTTTCTCAGCTAATATTCAATATACTTGTATCTCAAATTGTTATCAAAAGCTTTTGCTGTTTCTTTTATTCATTTTTTCAGGAAAAAGATGAAGAAGAAGAAGAAAGTACCTGATGATGCTCGGTGTTTACTAGATCTTCAGAGGATGGATGCTCTTGTAGTGTCCTGTCATTCTGTCAAGGCAAAGAAATTTCAATTTCAGCTTCCAAGTCACTACATCATAAACTTAAATGACCAGTTTGAAAGAAAAGTTCACTTCATCAGCAGAGGGTTTCTGATGTCGCAACTTTGTCAAAGGCAGATCAACATCTTCTTCGTCTTCTTTTGATGATGATTCTTCTTCTTCATCTTCTACTTGTTTTCCTTGTCCTTCTGTATTCGAACGCAGATCATCAGATGATGATGACAATGATTCTTCCTCTTCATCTTCCTCTTCCTTCCCTACTTTTCCTACTCCTTGTGATGATTCCAAAATAGCCGAAACCATTTTTTCTCTACGTTTTGGAACTGTTCCACATAAATTATCAAATCAACACTGACAGCCAAGAAATAGAACTCTAAGATGTACTTTGAGAGAGGGGGAGCTGCAAGATACCTCTTTGCAACTTCTGAGTACGTGCACGTCGTTTCTTACGTGTCTTCCTGGGACCATTTCCAAACTTCAAAACAAAATGTTTCCGAGCCTCAGAGAGATATGACGCAACATTTTCCCAGCACCATAACCACCAGGAATTGAAGGCATGGTCTGAAGATGGGAACCAATGAATCTGACGAACATGCGACATTGCGGATTTTCTGGTGAAATAGTCCTTCTCTGCATGCTTAAGAACATTAGGAGCCACAGTGTTCCTAGAATGCCAGGGTTGGTTGATAGTTTGGTAGAATGGGACAGGAACTGATTGAAGGTGTCCAAGTTGCCTGGCAAACTGGTTTGGGGAGTAAGGTTCAAGAAAAAATGACGGAGGGCTAAAATATGCTGGTAGATCCTGAGCAACAAGAACAGCTTTCCACGCATCCATTTCATCTCTAGTATGTTTCTGATGAAGTGTGAAAGCACGAAACCAGTCAGCACCAAATTCCCTATTAAGAAATGGGTTCCACTCCTCTCCTTGGCGTTTCCTTCTGCTGTCAGTCAAATAGATGAAACATTCCTCAAAAGTTTTCTCGCATTGCACCTGGCTGAAAATTATGTAATCCCCATACGAGTATATGCTATTAAAGTGTTGTTGCCTTGGGCTTGGAAGTTGTGCAGCAACGCTCCTAGCTGCAATAGGTTTAAAATAAGCCTGCGCCCATAGCACCACTAGCCATAGAGGCCCACTCACATGTTCGCTGAAATCTGATCTGAGAATGTTGCCTAGGCAATTATAGGCAAGGCCAAGTAAGAAGGGGGCAAGCGCAATTGGACTCTTTGCATGAAAGATGGTTTCAGCCACGCATTGAAAGCCCTTCAAAACCATGACTGAGCGGTTGCAAACAAGAAACTTGCATATCCAGTACAAGTAGAAAGCCATTTCCTTTTGTTCTTTATCTCTAAGAGCCATAGATCTAGTCACAAAATTGCCATAACTTGATACACCAATCCCTTGATAACTGTTCCTCGCATCTGGCAGGTCAGTCCCTAATGTAGATAACTCAATGCCAACTGGGGAACAACTGGTGATTGCAACCACATCCTCCATTGTTATGCCCATCAGACCTTCAGGAAGGAGGAAAGCGTTGCAACTTTTGTCCCAAAAACACATGAGAGCAGACATGAGAGGACCATCAAAGGAAATGAGACGTGTTGACAGCATAATGGTTTCATAGATTCTGAGGTCTCGCCATTTCTGTCCATGTCTCTTTTCCAGCTTCTTTACCCAATTACAGTAACTTTCATCTGGCATGTGCCATCCAACAATCGGGCTGGAATTTTTGCACCAGCTATGCCACGAAACCAAACTTGAGTGATTCTGTACCAAAATTTTAGATTTCTCAGAAGGGTAATATTTAGACAACCTTGCAGCCACAGGTTTGTTATCTTCTTCTACAGACGGCGAATTAAAAAATGGACCGAGCTTGTAACGCTGGCCCCAACCCGAATCCGAATCCAACCCCAATGAGGTTGCTGTATTATGTGATTCATAAGCTTGCTGAACCTCAAAATTCACAGCACCTGAAACCTCTGCCAACCCCTTGATTTCTTGGCAATCACCTACAAAGCTAGGCACAATACAAATCTTCGAAGTCTTTGTATTATTAACCATAATTCACTATGCACCTTTCTTCTTCCTACTGCAAGAAACAATCCGTAAATCAAACTATGCTTCACTTAGAGTCATTAACACCATTCTCTTTTTGCGATTCAATCCAAATAAGCATTCAAATTACATGAAATCAAATCTACTACAATAACAACAAAATGTTGCCCGAACAAAAAATAGCCCACCCCCATTTCTTGTATGATTCCAATTCTTGTTTTTTCTATACAGACAAAGAAATTCCATTCCATTTCCAATTCTTAACTGAACAAAATGAACAGAAAATTAACATGAGAAATCAGTAATCTTTCTAACAATGCTGATCATTATTAAAGAAAAGAGAAGGAAGAGAGAAGGTTCTTGACCTGGAACAACGCAGGAAGGATATCAGCTAGATGAAGAAGACAGACATAGATGCAGGCAAATGCAGTCCAGCATTAAAAGGCGCCTCTTACTGCAAAAGTAAAGTGGAGAAGTGAAGAAAGCAGAATTAGGGGAGAGTGAAGAGAGACGGAGGCAGGTTTTACACACCCGTTTTAGGAGGTGAAAGAGTAACTTTGGAACTTGGAAGTAGATAAAGACTTGGACGCTTGGACCGAGCTGAGAATCTGAGATATCCTTGGACTTTGGCAATGGGGTGCATGTGCAAAATGTGTTTCGAATTGAAAAAAAACACAAAAAACAAAGTTTCTAGGCGTGAAACACAGCTTACATCAAAGGGCACCACGCAGCAAATGTCTGTTTATTTTTGTGTCGTAAAAGTTAAAAAAAAAATGAAATTTTTTTTAGTAGTTTCATATTATTTTTTTATATGTTAATATCAAAATAATTTTTAAAAAATAAAAATATATTTTTAAATAAAAAATATTCAGAAATAGAAGATGAAGTTTCACGAAGGCGGCGTCTCCATACACACAAGATGCAAAGCTTTCAGTGCAAAAGACATCACAGCAGGGAACAAACATCAATTTAAGTACCGTTTTCTTGGAACTTTCTACAGCTTTTTGCAGAACTGGGGGGTCCTGCAATCTGTACTCGACAAACTGAATGAGGTTTTTTTTATTTTAGCATGGTAAAATAATAATAATAACAAAGTAAAAAAAAATAGATTTACGCAATTGTTATATATAACTCTTTTAAATTGTATTTTTTTTTAAAAAAAAAAAAGGGTCTAGGTTGATAGATTATCAAGTTAAAATCAATTTTTTAAATTAAAATAGCATTATTTTCTTAAAAAATCTTTATTGTTAACTTAAAGTTTGAACTAAATCAACATAAATAAAGAAAAAACGAATCAGCTAGATTTTACTATATTAATGTTTTTTTTAATTTAATTTAGAATTTAATTGGAATTAGGTTTGACTGCTACTATTTCAAGGAATCAAGGCTCCAAGAACCACTGCTTGAAAAAGACCTGACATCAAGAAAAGAAACCAGAAAGCTTCACTAGGCAAACTCTGTTTCATCAACAAGTCAACAATAGAAACCAATCGGTCAACGGCATTGCTGCTGAGATAACTATCCTTTTCATACAAGTGAATGGATACTGTCTCGATTTTTAATTTACCTTCAAAATCTCTATAATATAATTTTATAAAAATTAATGAGTTTTTCTTTCCATTGCATTACAAGAAGAAGATTCCAGATATGTTTTTTTTTTTTTTTAATAATAGAATCTGAAATGTAATTTTTGGGGAAGGAAAGGACAAATTTGCCGCATGCTATCATACATGTTCCAATTGGGTCCCTCAACTATCAATTGTTCCAGTTGAGTCCTACATTTATTTGGATTTTGATCACTCTCAACGCTGATCTATTAAGGTTGCTCTTCTAGCCAATTGGCTAAAACTTTTGCTTGTATGTACATATTTGTGCATAATTTGGTGACGATAAGCGATACATTTGTAAGTTAATTTGCATCAAGCTCTATCGTCCAATGCATGAACCTTTAGATAGACAAAAATTTTATGAGCCCATATATTTTATTAAAATTTGGTTAATAATGATGTTGGTCTAAATTTATTATAAAGTCAATCCCTCAACTAATATTGTTTTTATTTTTATTTATAGCCTCTTGATAATTTTTATACCAAAAAGATTGATTCATGAAGTTGTGCTGACCTTCAACTCCTAGCCAATATAAGATATTGATATCATTATAGATTTGTTGTTGCATTTTAAAAAAATGAAAAAAAAATTAATATTTTAAAATTATTTTAATGAGCTGATATAAAAAATAATTTTTAAAAAATAAAAAAAATATTTTACTATATTTATAAATAAAAAATATTTTAAAAAACAATCATATCTATATTTTTATATTTTTAAACGTGGTTTTAACACTTCTAAAAGAGTTTTTAGTTGAGATGTCTGGGTTGATAGACGACATGAAGTGAATGATGTTTGCCTAAATCCGTTACATAACTAACATCTGAAGAGCTATTGTCTTCCTTTCGGGCTTATAATCTCCCGATGAATTTGTTCTTAAAATTTAAATAGATATCATGGGAGACTCAATTGAGATAATCCGTAGTTTTGGGGTCAATTCTATCCTTTTTTTTTCTTTTCATTCAATGAAAATATCTCCACCAGATCAAGGTGATGTTTGATTATAGGCTAGGCTGACGACGCTAGGAAAAAACAACAATGGCTACACATAAGAGAATTTAACATCTAATTTCCGAGTCTCTATTTAAATCACTCTTGGGATTCATTTTATGCATGCAATGCTTAGAGACAGTACTTCTCCATGGCTAACACAATTTTTATTGTTGGGGTACTAGGTAATGAACCCTGGATTTCTCTGCATAGAATGGTGAAAGGATCTTCTATCTATTTCTGGCATGTACAGGGATATCTTCTGGATTCATGCTAAGTACTTAAATTATATGTTTGCAGGCAACATCATTTCAAGTCTGGCCTACCTTTCTCCCTTGTAAGTAAGCAAATCAAGATTGTTTTGTAAATTTGTGGTGCCTGACAGTAAAATATTGAGATGTAATATTTCCCAGGAGAACTTTTTGGAGAATTGTAAAGAAGAGATCGACAGAGGATTTTTCAAGCATTCCTTATATCTGCACATTAATGAATGCTATCCTGTGGATTTACTATGGAATCACCAAGCCTGATAGCTTCCTCATCGCCACCATCAATGGTTTTGGTGCCGTAACTCAGATTGTTTACATTCTGATATTTCTGGTGTTCATATCTCCAAGAATGAGAGTGAGTTTTGTTTTGTTTCATTTTAACGAATGAACACACGCATGTTTTTTTCGTTCAAAAACCATCTTTTTATAGCGTTTGATTACGGTTTCGACTGATAAAAAAGCAAAGATAGTTGGGATAGATGAGAAGGGTCTCTCTGTGTTTTCTATTTAGAATAACAAAAATTCACTCCAAAATTATCTCATAAACATTTATTTTTATCTCTCCGTCTCAAACAAAACAAGTTTTCATCCTCTCTGTATTGTGACAATAACTAAACACAATTTTTATGTTCTCTTGATCCTATGATGTATCTATATGTTGTTCCCAATTAGGCCAAGACCGCCTTGCTAGTCGGACTTTTGGATGTGGCATTTGTTGCAGCAGCAATCTCGTTCACCCATTTTATGTTTCAAGGAGATGTAAGAATCGATGTTGTTGGCTTCATCTGCGATTGCTCCAGTATGCTTGTTTATGCTTCGCCTCTTGCGGCTATGGTAAGAAAATTAGAAAAATTAACTATGCCAAGTTCCATACATTTGTACTCGGTGACTACAATATTATAACTGCTACAGGTTAGAAATTTGTACGGTGCCCAAACTGTAACTGTTAGATACAATATAGGAAAGAGATGTATTCTCGTATCTATTTTCTTTTTTTTATGTTGCAAGTATTTATTAGTTACAATAACAACTAATGTGCTTCTGGTCCAGAACAAAAACTGTTTTCAGCTATTCGGTGTCTAAGAATGCTTGGTTTTCTTGGAATGTACTAAAGCAGAAAACAGTCATTACAACAAAGAGTGTAGAATTCATGCCATTCCTTCTCTCATTTTCCATTCTACTAAATGGAGGCTTCTGGACTCTCTATGCACTGCTTGCAAAAGACATTCTTGTTGGAGTAAGCTCAATTCTTCTCATCACTATTTGTTTACATTTCCAAGCATTGAACATCCATTGACTATTAGAAAAGGGACTGATTCTGTGTGTGTATAGATACCAAATGGGATTGGATTACTTCTTGGGATAGCCCAGTTGATTCTATATGGGATATACCACAGATACAAGCCACTGAAGGAAGCATCAGATAATTTGGAGGATGGATTGCAAAATGAGTCCCTTATCCCTACTCGCGACTCTGTTTCATAAAAACAGCAGATCAGGGTTTTGAGACTTTTTGTGCCCGCCACACTATTTATGCTATGAAATGCAGCATAATAGATTACTCTGTAATGAAATACTGTATATTGCTATATATAAGATTATTCTGTTAAAAATAGGATTTGGCTCGGGTAGCTTGGGCAAAGATTGGCCCTCGAGAGTAAAGGCAAAAGAGAGCTAGACTGCAAAACACATCTATTAAGCAAGGAAGGAAATCAACCTTAATGATCCGATGGTGCTGGGTAGAAGGTTCATCGCCCAACGGATAAAAATTACTCTAGAAGTATAGACTAATCTTCCCCGAGAGCTGTAATATATTCCAAGGTTTAATGTTTTATGAATTCCACTGCAAATCTTCTAAAAAAGACATTACTTTTTCAAAAGTCACACTAAAAGACAACTGCCACCTAAGCTATGCCTTTAACTGCCATTCATATGGTCTTCTTCCCATAAACAAGCTCTCTTTCAGACAACACAAAACAGCCAACCAGGAGCTCCAAGGATAGATGGCTTCATCATACATAACTCTTTGCCTCATTCTCATACTCTCACAGTCTTTACCATCATCATCTTCATTCCGAGAAACAAGTTTTCTTGATCAAAAACCAACAGCCTATGAAATATTGGGAGACTACAACTTCCCTAAAGGACTGCTTCCTAAAGGAGTTGTCGGCTATTCTCTTGACACCACAACAGGTAGATTCTCCGCTTTCTTGAATGGTTCTTGCAGTTTTTCTCTTGAAGGATCATACCAGTTAAGGTACAAGTCAAGCGTCAATGGTTATATATCAAAAGGGAGACTCTCAAGGTTGGAAGGTGTGAGTGTGAAGGTGTTTTTTATGTGGGTTGATATTGTTGAGGTTTTAAGAAACGGTGATGATCTTGAATTCTCTGTTGGAATTGCTGGTGCTTGTTTTCCTATTGATAATTTTGAAGAGTGTCCTCAATGCGGTTGTGGTTTGAATTGTGGTGGTGCTAAAAGGAAAGTTAGCAAGATTAGATCAAACCCATTTGTATCTTCTTCTTAGAAAGATCTGTATATTTCAATCATTGAATTGTTCTATTGTGTTTTTTATTCTCTCATTTAATTGGGATTTAATGAACTGGGTTGTAATTATTTTCTTAATTTGTCTACAAATTCTCTCTTTTGTGTTCTCTATCGCAGGATTATGCCCTTTATTGCAGCCCACTTTGGTATTAAAGCCCATGTTTGTGTGATTAGAAACAGATCTGTGTAGAAAAAATTGTGAGGTTTTTATTTCGGTTAAGGAATTCATTGAATTTGTGCCTTCATCTCAATGAAACTTTAGTTGTTTTGAAATGAGGCTGGTGTCATTGGATCTGCAATGAGGATGTTTAACCCTGTACTCAACCCGGAATAGCTGGGTTTTTTTTGTGATAATATGGAATTTGATGATAACTGCAGAGTAAAAATTCACAGAATGTAGTCATTGACGAGTTTTTCTTAACCCTTGAGAATTGGGGATACCAATGTGCTTGTTTTATTTGTTATTTATTGGTCAAATCAGACCTAGTTGTTTCCATAAATCGTCCTCCGAGCTGTCATTTTTTAAGTTAGAAAACAGGAATTAATTGGCCGATTCAAGGAGCATGGAACAAAAAGGAGTGGCGTGCTTGAATTGGAATAATAACATTATTTGGCTGGCATTAACTGATAATACCTGTGCTTATGATGTTGTAATAATTCTAGTCCTGATTTGTATGATCAGATGATTGCCTTTACTGTTTTTCATTGCCAGTGTTGTTGATGGAATGGTTTTTTCTTCATTTTCTTTGTAAGTGATTGTGAAGAGATTGAGTGGGAAGTTATTGAAGTGTTTTAATGGTGTTAATTTGAATCTGCTACTGAATTGTGAGTGTCAGTTTACATGCGCATCTGTGCATGCATATCTATGCCATTGTCAAGGCCGGGATAGATTATGTATAGGGTCGGTTCCGAATGAGGATTTGCCTTCTCTTTGCTTTCTGTTAAAAAATGTAGCTTTCCATTTCTTTTGTGCTAAACCAGAACAGAACCTGAGATACGCCATTGTTAGAATGGATAAGCCAATGATAGTCTTTGATTTGCTCAGAAAGAATTTGAGAAGTTCCTCTTTCTTCTGTCCGCCAATGGCTGTTTTGTGCGAGTATAGTTAGGTTGTCTTCCTGCCTTTGCCTGCTTGCTTTTGATGCAGTCTGATCCAGGAAACACTGCTTTTACAAAGATTCAGGGTTATAAAATATGGTATTAGCATTGTATCATCGTCGGTCGTTCAACTGTCCCTCAGAGACATGATCGAGAAGTACCACGCATCCCCCGGTTAAGCCGGCAACTCCCCATAGTCGAAGTTGTGCATTCTTGTTTGCTCTCTTTTTCTGTAGCTTTTGGATACAGGTCTGTGATGGTCAATAGATCCTCGCTACTTTTATAACTGGAGTGTGTTCTTGCCTGACAATATAGCAAAACTAGTTTATGCTGCTAGAACATTGTAATCCATGCAATTTCTTCATATCTGCATGTAGGCAAAATACATGTTGCTCTATGGCATTGAACATTCGGTTTGGATTGCTTGATTGAAAATTCTTATGTCGTTGTAAACCAAATCTTATATTCAGATTGTCTCGGAATCGAGTACTCCAAATTAACTGCAACTGAAAAGCCCTTGTCTAAATTTTCTTGGTGCACAGTGGTAATCCTCCTCGCTCTATAGATTACAATCGTCTTCATGCGCACACCTGCCAATCCTCCTTTCTTCCCAATTTAAACCAAAAGCTTTTGAATTGTGCGGATTCTATAAAAAAGTTGGATGCCTACCATGGTGAATTGCAGTATATTGCCAGGTGAAGAAGTGACATCTTATGATGTTCGATATCATCATTTGAAATCACAATCTGTGCTTCCTTTCATAATCCCAGAAATTTTACTTCAGTGAAGTGCAATCTTGCTGTCCAATGTAGAGAGAGACTGATAATATGGCTGTGCTAGTTGAGTCCGTTCACAGTAGAGAGGAAAGTCTCACAATTAAGCTTAATGGTCCTTACTGCATTTTGCCTGATAATCATCCATCTCTGTGGCTGTGCCTGACTGTATTTTGTTATCAGAAGAGTTTTGATGAGTTGAGAGATCATCAGAAGCTTCTATGTTCGTCACAGTTCATTTTAAAAGTTGATGAAATCTGAGGGTTATATTTCAGTCCTTGTGTTCATGTTTGCACACGGTCACACGCAACAGAAAAGACATTAATATTGGCAATTTGGCATTGATGGTTGTTGCTGAGGCTGAAAATCACTAGAAATTTCCCTGGTTTTCCATGGTAGAAAACACACATTGTAAAGGAAATCACTTTGCTGATTACTTGTCTAAAAAGGGGTGTGCAGTCAACATCCACTCCCGATTTCAGACCATGCTTTTTGCTGAGTTCTTAAATGTACAAATTCCAAGAGTTTCAGTTCACATGACCTTTTCCATTTGATTGGTTTGGTTTTAGAAAAGATCACGAGAATCGATGCTTCATGCATGGCCAAACTGCATTGGCCCTCGAAAGCTAACCTAGAAATACCTAAAATCATTGAACAATAAAAAAAAAATCTGATATTGGATATTACTGTTAGACTTGTGATTTCATTGGTAGCAGGGAAATTTATAAGATCAGTAATCAATTCACTGCACCAAGAAGGGCGACCCTTCAATACTGTAGATCATAGATGTGTCCCAACCTTTTATCATCTGATGTGGGGCTACCATTGTGGGTACACAGTCATGTTTACACCAAACAATCAAGCATTTGACTAATCAGGATTATTTAATACTGTAATAATAATTGTTTTTTAAAATATTTTTATTTAAAAATATATTTTTTATTATTTTAAATATATTTTTTATATAAAACATGAAAACAACCTAAAAATATAAAAAATATATATTTTTAAAATACAAAACAAACTAGTTACAGGAGTTATTCCTGATTTTGATAGGAAGAAATAATAAAAATAGGGGGGTGTTCTTACAGGGTGTAAAATAATAACTTTTTACATCAAACATCATCGAAAGAGCATAAAATTTGTCTTCGCATCTGGGTCTTGTGTTCACACAGAGTAAATGCTTTTGGTCTATTTTGTGTTCTTACAGTTTCATCACTTTAATAATGGCTTCTGGGAGACTGGCTTCAAGTTTGACTTCATAGCCATTCAAGTAAAGGCTATATTGCTTTCCTTTTTCTTCTGCGTCCGAGATTTGAGTTTGAAATCGAAGGTCTCATCGTAATTACGGAAAAGACTTCTTCCCATGCAAGATTTTGGAGCACACAGTTAATTTTATTTCCAGTTAATTTTTTCTTTCAAAGCAAAAATATGACACTCAGCTCAAGGCATAAGTCGCTTGTTGATCAGGTTGATTATAGTGAATTAAAATGACATAATTTTTAGTAATTATTTTTTAAAAAATAGATTTTGGGTTCACTCAAACCAATGAAGTCAAAACAGGTCAATTTTGATTTGATTATTTTTATAACCCAACCCAGATCAAGAGCACTTCAGCTAGCTCTCAGGGTGACTCGTCTAGCCAATGCAGTTTTAGTAACTGTGTTTGGAAGAATGATTTATTTGGAAATCTAACATTTTGTCAAAAAAAAAGAGAGAGAGATAAATACCCCTTCCACCTCTTCTTGAGATAAGAAAGAAGAAGAAGAAGAAGAAGAAGGAAATGAAACCCTAAATTCATTTCTCATGATTAATCACTGGAGAAGGGTTTGATCATGGCATCTTAATTTCTGGAATGGTGATGGAATTATGAAATTAATAATGTCATGGGAGAAAATAAAAATTTTAAAAAAACTGTTTGCTTTTCAAAATATTTTTAAGTTAAAAATGTTTTCAAATAATATTTTTTTTAAAAATATTTATATTATTACATCAAATCAAAACAATATAGTAATACTAAAAAAATTAATTTGAAAAAAAAATTAAAATTCTATATAATAATGACACAGTAAATGTCAAAGTAATATATTGATTAAAAAAAGTCTTCGTACCAATTTCTTCTTGAATTATAACCTCAAAACATAGGTAGTTAAAGTTGATTTCTTCACGAGATGCACTGGGTAGTATACCTCGCGCATTGTGTAACGCAATTGCACAGCACCGCACCGCACCGCACCGCGCGTTTTTAGCACTAATGATTGGTTACTCGTGTGATCTAATACAT